GATTAACACAGGCCACAAGAGCCTCCTATCCTTATCAACTGAATCTGAATCTGAATCATTGAACATTGAAGATAGCCGCGTCTCACAACAGTGGAGCTACAGGTGGGCCGTTACACCTTTATTCTTCTGGTAATCTCATACTCATCTTATACGAATGTCATAAGTTGATTTCTCAAAATATTAATCTAAAGTTCAATTTTATGGCGTTAAATTTGGAACCACAACCAAAGATATATATATGCATATACACCTATTCAATCGAACAAAAATGTGTAAAATCAGGTGAATAATGGGTTTAGCCTATATTAGGGAAGTCGACGAATTCTTTTTATTTAAAAGTACTTCTACTATTTCAACCGTCTTCTCAACTTGACTCTTATTGGACCGAAATTTCATGGTTGTGACCATCATCTAACCAATACTTTGTCATTCCCACCATTTACCTAGTCATAGTGGTCTCCTGCCTATTATTTAACCAGGAATTGCCCATTATTTTACCCCTATTACCATATGCCCGAAAGTCACTCATTTTAACTATCTCACTGTTCCTTGCCCTTCTATGTGTGATTTGGAGATAATGGGAAAATGTAGGTTAAATTTTGATAAATTATTGGTGAGGTCATAAGAAAATATTGGTTAATTATTCGTCGAAATAGTAATATGTTGGTTATATTTTAGTCTAAATGGAGGGAAATTATGTCATGTAACCGAAAATTTGCGTATTTTTTTCTTCCTGTTGGCCATGTCCACTATTCGCCCACTAACCAAATTTTTACTATTTTTCGTATGATTAGGTATATGTATATACATATGTATGATCATTGCGATTTGAAAAATGAACTGATCACTAGTTTTAGCCACTCATGAAAACATTTGCACACTTACCGACAATTATCTATCAATTTAAATGTATCTTTGCAAGGATCTCATTGTAAGGACGATTCGTGACAGCATCCAGTGACAGCAGTAAAGTTTAGGTAATTTAGCCGTTCATGAGACAAGAGATAATGCAGTTCGACTTGGTTGAGGAATACTAATTTATTTGTGTTTAACTTGACCTTTATGGGTGCAGTTGGTTTATGTTTCTTGCAATAGTGCTTCATTACTCTGACAAGTAAATTGTTCACCTAATACTACTATTTCACGAGTTTCTACATAAAACCACCATATTTCTTCATTATTTCTGCTCGTAAATATGAAGTTCGCTTTTTCACATCTAAATTACTATTCGTGCCCAATTTTTAATGATATTACGTTCGTATGACGCATTAGATTTGGATTATTCCTTGACTGGATCCATGTTTTGTGTTACTGTTGATTTTTTCAATTAACGGTATTATCCATTTAGAAGAAAGTATGCAGTGACTCAAAGGGATCTTACATTCTCAAACTTGTTTGTCTTCAGCAGTTTATTTTAAGCATAAGTTTCAGTAACTTAAATCACAAACTGTGCTCTGCTTGGTTATATTCAGAAAACGCTTTTTGTTGTTCGAACCTGATTAGATTGTAGGCAACAGTAAACAACAAATACCACAGTCGAATGGACCGACCACTTATGTGTTTCTAACTAAAAAGTAGCATTTATAGAGTATAAAAAAAATATATTTACTGGATATACGTATAAGAAAAGTGATTCATATAAGATATATTGTCTCTAATATATTGTAAAGAGAAGTTCCAGTTTTCTATAGGATTTGTTGTAGTAAACAAACCATAATCTGCATAAGCACCAGTTATAGGATCCACTACTGATGATGATGATGACTGATTGACTTTATGGTTAATTTACCTTAAATAATGACAGTTACATTGCTCAGCGTTCTAAATGAATGCTTCCTATTTGCTATTTGTACTCTATCCCTAATCTACGTCGCTAGTAATAATATAATAATAATCACTTTGTTCCAAACAATGATTATACAGAGTGGAATATCCAAGGTTTTTATGCATATTGCAACAATTTAGGTCATTTTATAAATATGTACATACATAAAATAAAAAAATATAATAATAATAAAACCACAAAAAATAACAAATGTTAGCGGCACAATGTCAGTTTCATTCTAGCCCTAATCTTCGTTACGAGTTTCACCCTAACGTTAACCATAGGCCTACCTTAATCCTACCCTAACCCTGACCTAGGTTTCGTGCTAGTTGGCACTCGTCAGCAAGGCGTATCTGCAACCTTGAAGGAACTCATGTCCCTTCTGAGATTCGAACCCGCGTCACCCATTGCTGCAGTCAGAGACGTTACCACTGAGCTATTCGGGCTCGGGCTGCTTTCGCTAACTTACACCGTCTCTGGCGTAGGCGTGACATCCGGCTGTCAACCAAGGGACGTGTATACTGCTCATCAGTTCGCTCCGTCCTTCTCTATGGCGGTGAGACGTGGCCATTGAGAGCGGAAGACATGAAGAGATTGTGTGTTTTTGACCACAGATGTTTACGATCTCTTTCTCGCGTTAGGTGGTATAATAAGGTAAGTAATGTTGACCTTAGGGGTAGAGTGTTGGGCAAAGGGGGAAAATCACTCGAAGAGGCTATGAAGTTACATAGATTGAGATGGTTAGGCCACGTGCTGCGCATGCCTAACCATCGTCTCCCCCGACGGGCATTACTAGCTGATATAGGTGCAGGTTGGAAAAGAGTAAGTGGTGGCCAAACAAAAACATGGCCTCATCAATCCATGAAATCCTTGACAGTTAAACTGAGTCAGGTGGGGGGGAGATGCACACTTCCGGGTTGGGGCCCTCGGGACTCTAAGAATCAATGGCTGGAGACAATAGGTGACATGGCTCAAAATCGTTGTCAATCACGCAGATGTATTCAGTCTCTGTAATCTTTCATATTCCTTTCTACCATTACTCATTCTGTTTCACTCTTATACTTGTCAAAACTCTATTGATTCTCTTCACTCATTTTCTTGTCTACCTTTGTGTGCTATTTGGAACGTGGCAACTTGAACTGCTGCACTTCGGTGCTAAGTTCTATGTTGAATCCAGACAGACAGACAGACCCTAACCCTAGTCCTGAATCAGGTTGAAACTTGTAACGAAGATTACGAAAAGCAATCACTTGTAACGTTGAGTTGTCTGATTGGTTAGTTCAGAGTCATTTGACTGGTATCTAGCATTTACTCTTACCGTATTGTGATTTATATGAAAACACTTTTCGATGAATAATGACAATAGAATTTTAAATAAAAGAATTAATTAAAGGCCTAACAATTAGCAGTAAGAATGAGGTCATTTTTTAAAATTCCTTCACTTCCCCAAGTGGAACATAGGGCTTAAGGCTAGAAGCTTAAAGTTTCTATAGGAGTGGTGTTTATTTTTACAGGATGGATTTGCTAGCCTCATGCCTAACGTACGGAGACTTATTCATCAGTAGTACACCGGCTACTTTATCTGCCCTACTGATTATAGTGATTTCATTGTTCCTTAACTTTCTCAGAAAATGAATTAGGATACATTAAAAGTGCTCTAGTTCAAATGAGTTGTCCTTGTGGGTTTTTATGGAGACACATGAACACCAGGTATAGTAAAGAGAAACTGACAAAAGTTAAAAGAAACAACTGTTCCTGAAACTTCAATTCAATGGGGACATGGATAGCGAAGTTCTACATCTAAGATTATCAAGAGCAATAAAACGGACTTATACTGCCACCACCCTTTGTTTGTCATTTTCCAGCCGACCAATTACGATTGTTCAAGTGAAAGACAAGCTACCTAGCTGTGCTACTTCTATGTGTATCTAAAAATTTAGTTGCTCCTGTGGAGAAAGGTAGCTATATAGGACGAACAGCTAGACGGCTCGACAAACGTATTAATGAGCATCTTCCTTCTTGGTTCGGAAAGGGCTAAATAAAATCTACTAGAAGTTCTATTTTGACTCACTTGATCGATAGCAGTCACCAAGTAGACAAAAGAAGTGCCTTCAAAGTTGTTTATCGCATTCCATCAAAGAACCTTTCGAACGGAATTCGAACCCGCCTTTTACACATAGCCGAAGCTATGGGAATTAATTTGAGAGAACAATCCTAGTCTTTGCATACAACAAAAGAAGTTTGTTCTACTTTTGTCACTCCCTTGCTTGCCTGGGTAAGTTCTAATTTAAACGCTCTAACCCTTTCTAATTTTCCATTTCCTTGATGTCCACTTCATCTTTAGTATCACATAACTGTCAAGATTTGACCTAATTTATTTATTTATTGAATTGTCTACATATACACACATATATTACTACCTTTGTTATTCCTATCGCCACCTGCATAAACCATTGTTATCATTATAATCATCGCTGTTACTGACGTTAGAAAAGTTCACCATTTAACATTATTATCTGATCCACAAACTCACCGTCATTGGTCAGATTTTTTATAGATAAAACTATATAAGGCCTGCAGAAGATCTAATTGAAAACAACAATATTGATCGCCTATATGTCTTGTTCTAATATTAGCAATGGGAATGTTTAAAGATTAAGGCTAGCAGACCAAATTTACCTTTCAGCGCCATGGTTGTTTCCATGGTTATTGGTGCTTTCTTTCCTCTTTGTTGCCCCTAGCATATTTTCGCCACTATCTTTCAATAATTTCTTACAGGTACATCCAGATAACGAGTCCCAAATAGGACAAAATACGCGTTACCCTGGATCCCACTTCTAGTCACCATCCATCAATTAACTTCTAATTATATGCCCAGGCATCGTCGAAGCATCTTCACACGAAGCCGACATATCAACCTGAGACCGAGAACTTCGGTCCAATAAGTCGACGAGAAAATACTAAAATTGAATTAATTTGTTTATATGTATTCCCTAAATTATTCAATTGACCCTCTTTTTCCTCTATAAATCTACTTTTTCTATTGTATTTCTAAAGGAATAACACGCTTTAAATACACTCGACAAGCGTGTGTAGCTGTTCTAAGACAAAAATTAACCTATGAAACATGTAGATTTTTTAGTGAATCATATGCTATACCTTATTCAATGCATAATATCGGTCAAGTATGGTGTCATGATATTATGGATAGTACAACAAAAATGATACGTGTTTGGGATACACTAAAATGTGCTGATGGGATAGCTAATCTTTCAGATCATGAAGTAAGTTATGCATGTGTGTGATTGTTATAATATTATTATCATTATTATTACTCTTGGACTCCGAGTGGGACATACAGCTTCAACAGTAGATCTCCAATTTGTGCTGTTCTCTGTAGTACTCTTCAGCTAGCCTCATGATCGCTTGTACGTTTTCATGTAATGGATATTTGATGTCTACGCCTTACGTTCCAGTGATGACCTAAGGGATTGTTATTAATAATAGTTAATATTATAGAATGTAAGATTTAGTGGTGGCCGAATGGTCAGCGAGCTTTTCTCCTAACCTGGAGATTCCTGGTTTCATCCCTGATGTGGGTTTGTGCGCGCGCACTGTTGAAGAAACAGCGATCTATTGCTCCTTGACTTTCAACGATCTTACTGTTTTGTGATGAAATCTAACACGTGACATATTTCATGTAATTTGTTAAGGCATCAATATACTACTTCCTTTTCTACCATTTAAGTAGTTCATGTAATCCTTCTTAATGATTTTTTGCTTTTTATATTCTTCTTTATCTATGAAAGGTACTTAAACGTATTCAACCATCTGTTCCAGGTGATGGTATAATCAATTGCCCATTGCGTTGTAGACGTCGACTAAACAATATACATTCTACTATACGTACAAAAACTGTACAAAATATTGACCCGAAAACATTAATCCCCTATTTAGAAATGCTTCAATTGAATGGTATCAATGATTCATATGTGAAAGCAGATAGTCCACAACTGAAAGCCGAAGATTTAATATTCATTGATATACATCCTGTCAATGAAATGGTCAATCAAGTAAGCAAGAAAAACAAAACCAGAAAAGACTGAAAACATTTTTCGAAATTCTAAACAAATAAGCGACTCACATTATAGATAAGATTTTATTTTAATAAATCACACAGTGTGGTGTTATACAGTAATGTTAACTGATGACCACCTTTTGAGCACAAATTATTGTCAATCATAATCATATCAAGTTACTCACTCACACAACTTTCTTGCTTCATTTATATACATGTATGGAAACGATTAGATATTGGAATAAAAATCAATATAGGATAATGTACATTCGGAAATAATAATATGATTGTTATTGATCAAATACAATCAGATGGGAAATAAGACGAGTGTTTTTATAGTCATAATATGCCATAATAATAACATCACAACATGCTGACAAGTTAATTATTTTGACTATAAAAACACTCGTTCTATTTCCCATCTGATTGTAATTGATCAATAACACACACTCATATTGTTATTTCTGAATGTACAGTATCCTACATTGGTTTTTATTCAAATGTATAATCGTCAATTTCACTCATGTATATAAATGAAGGAAAAAAAGTTGTGTGAGAGATTGACTTGATATGATTATGAGTGGCAATAGTTTGTGCTTGAAGCGTGGTCATCAGTTAATATTACTGTACTGCATAACACTGTATGATTTATCAAAATAAAATCTTATCGATAATGGAAATTTTAGCACGTTATAGATTATAGAATCTAATGTTCTGTTGATATAGCAGCATGGTGAGGGGAAATACAAAAAATAACAGCAATTATGCAGCTTAAATTATGTTCACACTTATGAGAAAATAAATAAACAAATAAAAACAAAAATTGAGAGGATTATAAATATAAGAAGTACAATAACAATAAAGGTTGATGTTGTAAGGGTGGAGGAAAATGGTTTATTCAATAGTGCAAAGAAGGTCAGTTAGTTAGTTCATCCCTGACACTATTTTCATCACGTAAAATACGTACCTCCAAATATGGTATAGTTGAATTTCTTTACTTAGACATGCGTGCATAAAGTCTTTTGAAATGACTTCTGGTTTTACCTGAGGAGAAACAAGGTTGGAGCTGTGGGTACAGTGGGTGCTCACAATCTGACAAAATTCCTTTAGCAAATTTGTTGCATGACATCAAATGCCTATCAATGACATTATCAACGATATGGGCCAATGGGATACCACTCGCCCTACTGACCGACAGTCATCAGAGCTCTACGAAGTATGACATAGTCTTTTTTAAGCAACCCGGGGGGAAAGAATAAGGGTGAACAGTAAGGAAGAATAGGTTAGATGCACGAATTGAAAAACTATAAGAGGAGGTATTGATGTTGAGGAGGATGTCCAATAAAATGGTGACCTGCTATACCAGGTTGAGTTTTACCAGTCATTACTTGTTCTTAAGAAAGATATACTTAAAATGTGTAACATTTTTATGTGAATTACAGCCACTGTTTAACACAGAGAACAGTCGGAATTATGATTGGCACTTTAATATTCAGTATATTCAATAGTCAATCCCATATTTAACAAGGTTTGTATATACTACTGACTTATATAAGTAGTTATACGTCTGGATAAAGTAAAATAGCAATGGTTTGTGCGGAATAAAATTGGGCTATCGTTAATTGACGTGGAATCATGCTGTTGTCCACTAAGTCGTCCTGGATAGAATAAAAGATGCACTGGATGCAGAACTCCATCCTACCGAACAGAACAAGCTGGATTCAAGGAAGGCAAATCATGTGCCTACCAAACAAATTGCAAATCTACTCATCTTCATCACAGAACAAAGCATAGAATGGTAGTCAAACCTCTGCCTCAACTTCATCGACTTCGAGAAGGCCTTCGATAGAGTTTACAGAGAAGTAATTTGGAAACTACTTAGACACTACGGCATGCAGTGCCCAAAATCTTTATCAACCTCATTCAACATCTGGTTATATGACAATACCACATGTCAGGTGATCCACAATGGAACATTCAGCAAGGCGTTCGAAGAGAATACAGGAGTAAGACAAGGCTGCCCGTCCATTATCACCGATGATACTCCTGACTGTGGTGGACTGGATTATGAGTCATACTGTGCGTGGGGAGTGATTGCAAAGACAGGAATACGTTAGACTAACCGATAAGAAGACTCTCGAAGATCTGGATTTTGCGAGTGGATGATTTATATTTAATGTTGTCCTTTATGCTGTGCATTGCAGGGGAGTTTGCTGTATTTATCCTAGTGGATGAATGGTTCACAAGCTTGCATTTTAACTGGAAGGTACTAAGTTCAGATCCCAGTGTAATCATATCACTGAGGAGTCCCGAACTAGGACGAAACGTCTGTGTAGTACTCTCCCCTTTCCAACTAATATTAATCCATAATCAGACTTGTTTACAAATAGATATAATAAAACATAAACCAATCATGGTTATGATTCATGAATAGAATGATAAGAGTGTGCATATAAATTGTACAATTAGTCATAATAATAATAATAATTGAATAAATTCTAAGAAATAATCTAAGTAGGTGGAGAGAAAGGTTGATTGCTGAACCCTTGATCATAGAGTCTGCACCCAACACATGCAACAGAAATGACTCAACGCAAATACCAGAGATATGGAAGATATTATTACTACCAGTCAGTCAAATCAGAGGAGGATAATAAATAATCTTAAATTGTATTCTATTTCAATTCAAGCATATCATAACATTCTGACAAGTTACTTATTATGACTATAAAAACACTCGTTCTATTTCCCATCTGATTGCATTTGATCAATAACAATCATATTATTATTTCCGAATGTACATTATCCTATATTGATTTTTATTCCAATATCTAATCGTTTCCACACATGTATATAAATGAAGGAAAAAAGTTGTGTGAGTGATTGATTTGATATGATTATGAGTGGCAATAGTTTGTGCTGGAAACCTGTTCATCAGTTAATATTACTGTACTGCATAACACTGTGTGATTTATCAAAATAAAATTTTATCTGTAATGGAGTTATACTCTACCACCACAGTGTCCAAGTTTTATACTTATATCAAGCGACTCCCATGTTTTTAAAGTTAATTAATTTGAATTCCGCTTTTATCGATTATTACCATTATTATTATTCCCTTAGGGTTCGGAGAGGCGCATAGAACTTTTACAGCGTATCTGCATTTCCTCGTCTTCCCTCAAGTCGTCTTCAGATATCTCCACGATTGCCCGTAGGCTCTGACACCCCCTCCTTATGTCACTTTCGGATGCACGCCCAACTCGTCGTTTCTCATTCGGGTTCTATTTGAGACTGCGTGATGTCACTCAGTGGTTTCCTCAGCATGTGTCCGATTATTCTTCATTTTCTCTGGCATATTTATTGGACAATAGGTTCTTTGTTAGTTCGTCCGTAGAGTTCCTTCCTAGTTCATGCTTTCTCGCCGGGGTTATTCGATATTCGGTGTGGAACAAAGGCATCTGTTGACGAATATCTGCGAAATGCACTTGTGACGTTGTAATTCGCTGAACCATAGAGTGAGACGAATATGACATTAGTTTTGAAAATCCGAACTTCGTTCTTCAGGTTGAGCACAGTAGATTCTCACATTGATTTCAGATTAGAGATTGTTTGTTTTGGTTTTTCATTCTTGTCTGGCTTTAACGTCTTCATCGGTGACGCATGTAGCTGAAACGCTGTTGTTGATGTTGTTGTGTTCTCTTAGCTGGATAGTTTATTTGCGAAGCTTTCATTACCCCCTACTAGGCAACATCTTCAGCGCATACTTCAATTTGTTGAGGTGAGCTTTTAGATTTCTCCACGAGTTCATTAGTCATTTCTCCTGGTGACCTGATCTTGAACGTCGTGGGTGGTTGTTTTTGTGTTTTCGCACCCTTTAGGCTACTTGTGGTATTGGTATTGATTGTTTCCTTGACTTGAACTATGACCCCTTGTGTGTGAGATTTCCTTCTTATCGATTGGCAAATTTTGTCTATCACGATGTGTTTATTGATTGACGATTCACTGGAATACCAGGCTGGCTTCTAAAAATTCTCTAACATTCTTGGTGTTTCCTCTGTCTAATATTTGAACGTTGTCCCAGTCGAATTGATGTCCGTGGTTGTCTGTATGAGCCGTCATGCCTTTGACGCCTAGTTTATGGTCATGGATACGAAGACGAAGGGGACGTCCACTTTGGCCAATGTAGTTTTTTCGCGGTCGTTGCAA